TCGGGTGTAGCTCAACCACAAGGTATGGGCTGGCTGCGGGAATCCTTGGGACAGGCTCTCTGACCTGGGGAGGTGTGTGTGGGGGAAACTGAGGCACAGACATGTCTTGCTCAAGATCCCGCAGCAAAGTGGGGTGAGAACCTAGGAGTCCTGGCTCCCAGCCCCGCTCAGTAAACTGATCACCTTCTCCTGTGCATCGGGAAAGCTTCAAATGAGGAAACGGGTGTCAGGGAAATTCAAGTGGGTGTTTCCCCTCTGACATTCGCCCCTGACCTGGTTTTGTTTCACCCTGTCTGGGCCCCTTTCCTGTCCCAGGTCTCCGGTGCTGGCCCTGATCCTGTTCAGTTTGGGGTCCCCTCTAGTGTCTTGAGAGAGACTCATTTCTGTCTCTGGTTTTGTGAAGGCGACTCTGCTCCCACCTGGCCCTGGACTCACTTCAGGCACCTCCCATCCCCTTCCCATACCGTGCCTCAGTTTCCCCAGCAGTGTCTCACAAGGAGGAGTTGATAGATTAGTATTTGCCAAGGGCTTTGAGCTCCCTGGACAGGGCAAAGCTTTGCTGATGAGCCAATGCATGTGGGCCTCTGGTGTTGCCCTCTGCTGGATGGCACAAGAATTGCTCACGTGTGGACCATAGATCCCATACTGCTTTGTGCTACTGGAGATTCCCCATTAACTCAGTGGGGCTGGGGGCTTTCGGAGCAGGGGGGGCTGAGTTCTAGACTTGTCGCTGTTGTGAGGCCCCGATGCTCTGTGCCTCACACACGCAGGCCCTGCAAATTCTGGGGCGAGTTCCAACTCCACGCCTGTCAGTGTCCCGCTCCCCAGAGACGCTCCCACGCCGGGCTGGGCTGGTGCCGGCTGCCCAGGGAGGAGCATTGGACCAGCCCCAAGCGCTGCCCCGGGCCGCTGCTGTCCGGGAGCAGGGAGCCGGCTGCTGCAGGGGCGGATCCACGTGGGGAGCTGCCCGGCTGGGTCGCAGCCCCTCTCAGCTCCTGGGCCCAGGGACACCGGTGGTACCGTTCCCGCGGGAGCAGCCTTGGGAGCGGGGCAGACCTGGCCCGGCACAGGCCCCGGCTGACCGTGAGCACTTCGACCACATGGTTCAAATGGCTCCAGGAGCAACCAGAGTCTGTGAGAGCGAAGGGCTGAGAGGGCAGGGACAGAGGGCTGGGGTGGAGGCAGGGAGGGGCCGATGCCCCTCACTCCCGACCCGCAGCCCCCTGCTACCCAGCCCTGGGCCCCCCAGCTCTGCCGGTGCCCCTCACTCCCGACCTGCAGCCCCCTGTTAGCCCAGCCCTGGGCTCCCCCCAGCTCTGCCGGTTAGGGTGACCAGACAGCAAATGTGAAAAATCAGGACAGGGGGTGGGGGGGTAATAGGAGCCTATCTAAGAAAAAGACCCAAAAATCGGGACATCTGGTCACCCTATTGCCGGTGCCCCTCACTCCCGACCAGCAGCCCCCTGCTAGCCCAGCCCTGGGCTTCCCCCTTCCCCAGCGCTGCCAGTGCCCCTCACTCCCGACCCGCAGCCCCCGCTATCCCAGCCCTGGGCCTCTCCTGAGCTCCGAGCCAGCCTTTCCTGAATGCTGCAGCGGTTTTGCAATGTGGAGCGACGCCCACACAGGGCGAAAACGGATTTCCCCCCCCCCCCCCGCCCCAGTGACCTCACTCAGCAAATCACAGCCCAGCCTGGGGAGCTGGGAGTTACTGTGCCCGGCCCCGCATGTGCATTGCACGCCCCTCGCACGCTGGGGCACAAGCGTTCTGGCCCTGTGGCTCTCCCCGTGCATCGCACGGCCCCTCCCTTCCATCCCCCAGTGCACATCCTGCCCTGCTGGGCCGGGGGGGGGGGAGTCTGGGGAGAGGGAGGGGGGTCCAGCTGCGAAGGGCTTTGACTGCGGCCCAGGGGTTAGGGGCTGAGCCGTCCCTACAGGCCGGAGTTGGGGTTGGTTCCAGGCAGGCGGGACCTGGGTGGGGGAGGGTGTGTGTGAACTGAACACGGGGCCTGCAGTTCAGCGGGGGGGGGGTGTTCCTGCTCCCCCCAGCCCGGCTCTGCCCCAGGAATCCCCCCCTGCCCCAGGCACTGCCAGGCGGATCATGGCCAGCCCTGTGGCTCTGTCCTGGTGGGGCCCAGGGCAACGGCCGACCAGAGTCACCAGAACCCCAAGGAGCGCGTGGGCCAGTGGCTGGGAATCCGGGCTCCTGACTCCTATTCGGGACTGTGCCACTGACTCCCTGTGTGACCTTGGCCCTGTCTCTTAGCCCCTCAGCTGGTGGCGGGCGTCTTACGCTGTCGCTCGTTCCACTGGCATCCAGAGCGCCCCTGGGGGCGAGCGCTGCCTGGCACTCTGTGACGGGTGGGGCCGGAAGGTTACAGGCCTGGCTGGAGGCAGGTGGGTGCTTGCGAAGCCGGGGCTGTGACCCTGGAGGGATCCGGCTGGATTTCCGCAGAGGAACCTCCACCGCGGCTGAGTCAGCTTCCTCCCTCCCCGTTCCACCCTGCGCCGGGAGATAACCCCGAGGAGCCAGCCCGGCTGGCTGGGGGCCGGGCTAAGAACATACCTCTGCAGCGCTTGGCGAGCAGCACCACCACAGGCCAGGCAGTGGAGCAGTTGGGGAAACTGAGGCACGGGTGGGGGAAGGGACTCATCCGGGGTTGCACGGTGGGGTCATGGCAGAGCTGGGATCAGAATCCAGGAGTCCTGACAACTGAAGAGGGGGAGTTGGGCATGTGAGGGGCACCGGCAGAGCTGGGGGGAACCCAGGGCTAGGCTAGCAGGGGCTGCAGGTCGGGAGTGAGGGGCACCGGCAGAGCTGGGGGGAACCCAGGGCTAGGCTAGCAGGGGCTGCAGG